CCAAAAGAACTAAAAATACTATGTTGTAAAAATAAATTGAAGTACTATGTGGAACAGTGGAAGTTGAAACTAAAGCATACACTAAAATTGAATGCATTTAAAAAATTATTGAAATTAATTGAGTTATAAAAAAAACACTTCTTAACATAATCCTATCTCGATAGATCACTGGCTCTAGCATAGTAATACTTTGGTAACAAAATCTCACCTTAGTAGCCCATTGGCTCCAACAATTGTTTCAAAACATCATCAAATTATCAGAGATTATGTAAATCATAATTATGAAGCTTTAATTGAACTAAAATACTATTTTTAGATATCAAATTAAACTTGGATGATGGACAAATACAATTCTACGACCTTAAAATTTTAGCTTTCTTTTTCTCTCTAGTCTCTTTTCTTCTCTTTTCCCCAAACTCTCTATTAAACGAAATGGGATAATGGTTTTTAATCAAACATATTTTATAATAAAAACATTATAAATGTATAATTGTAATTATGTAATTTGTTCAGTTTTTAGCAAAACATTTACATAAATAATTTTATATCTTCAAATCTGAAAAATCTAAAAATTATGAAAAATTATTCATAAATTAGCTATGTAGATCCAAAATAATTAAGTGAAATCAGTTTGCAAAACAGACATCTAACGGTCACGGAAAATTCATGGTCTACTTATGATTGAAAGGTGGTAGCTCAATGTTGATGTTCGCCAGTAGGGTGGTGGTCTAATAATGGCGGTCGACTGATAGTCTGAAAGTGGTGTTCGGGTTGTGTTTTGACAGAGGCAGCTAGGCGTTAGTTAGATGGTGTTGAATGAGTGTGTTTTGATGGTGGTAATCAAGGGGTGTTCCAATAACAACTACTGGGCCTTGTTCCGATTGTAGCGGTTGAGTTGTGGTCTGAAGGTAGTGGTTAGATGATAAAAGGTCAGTGGTTGTATGGTGGTGATGGTTTGGTAGTGGTTTAACTAAAGCAATTGGGTAGTGCTCCAACGATGGTTGTTAGACACTTGTTCAATGGTGGAGATTGAGAGGTTTTCTATTGGTGGTGATCGAGTGATTTTTTAATGGTAATAGTTGATTGGGGCTCTGGGATTTTTTAAACTACTGAGCTATCTCCAATCTCCTGTCCCTAGTCCCCCATCATATAGAGAGAAGGGTCTATTTATAAATTTTGAGAGCAAGACTTTTCATAAATATAACTGAATTAAAAAAAAACGCTCAATTAGATGACCCATATTAATTCCATTTATCATAGACCATTCTTTTAGTATTTGGGGAGTTTGATGAAGTTGAAATTAATAGATTTTATGCTCGTCGGATTTGTATCATCAAGATACTTGATTTTAATATAAACTTACATGATTTAGAGATCATTTGATCTTTTGACAACTTGACTATAAGTTTGTCAAAATCAGAATTCAAATGATCCCAAATACTCTTTTGGTGCAAAATGATTGGCTTATTCTGAGTGATTCCTCTTCGTTTGATGGGGAGGAGGATGAGGATTTTGACGAATGTGAGGAGGTTGCGCCTGTTAAGCTTGCTGACCCTAGTCGTTCTATTGTTGGTACTAAACGTAAGAATAAAGGTAAAAAGAAACATGCACTGCCTTTTTTCTAATTGCTTTTCGGTGGTGGTTTTTGTCGGCTTTATGGACAATGATGAGGAACCCCCCAGCTTCCCCTCGCTGATTTGACTGCTTGGCAACCGAAGTGAATTGGACTTGGGCTTGGATTGCTTGGTGGTTTGGTTTTGGTGGACTTCTCACCTATGGATGGTCCGTGGTTGGTCGCGTGGATGGTGTAGGGGGCTTCCATTCTTGAGTCCGAGTTAGAGTTATTTTACTCTCTGTTTATTGCCTCGAGCTATTTGTATTGAGTCCTTTTTTATGTTGTTGTAATGACTGGGGGCCATGGACTGTATTTCTCTTCTATTTGAATAAATGGTTTATTTTGTTAAAAAAAAAAAACTCTTCTAAACTTTCCAACAAAAATATTCACATCCATTAAAATTCATGTTTGAAAGATTGTATATTTGAATGACATTCTTAATGAAACTCAAATAATGTTATAATTGATTGGATTTGAATTTCCTACATCATTTGATAATTCATTCAGAAAGAACAAATTCAGACGATTAATAAAAGATTTTGAAAATTAAATTTTAATTTTCCAATTGTTTAAAATTAATGCTCTGAAGATTTGTTAATTTGATTAATAGCTAGGAAATATCAATTACTGAAAAAGTCATAATTAATTTTAATTTTGAAATTAATTATTCTATCTTCTTTAACCGGTAAAATGGCCATAGCAATGTGCATAAAAACTAACGAATAATCTAACATTCGAAGTGATCATAATAGAGTTTCTAATATATTGGTAACGGTCATCTTCTTTGGCTAATATTTGAATTAATTGGTCTCTATCTATAAATGCATTTGACAGAATTTGAACATTCGATGTTGCCCTTTTATTTTGGATATTTAAGTCAATTAAGACAAATTCATTCACATATCACATACGTAAGACTCAAATCCAAGACCTCTTAGTTGTTAGGCAAATCTCCCAACCAAAAGATCAATAAGGCTTCGTTTGCGACGACTTTCTTATTGCTTCTTAAAGTAGCTTTCTAGTACAAAAATTATTATTTTTTTTACTAGAAAGCTTTTTGGAGAAGCAGCAAGAAAGCCATCCCAAACGAACCCTAAGAGTTACGTTGTTGCTCTTTTTTAATAAGTGAATTAAAGAAAATCCTTCGAATTGGGCAAATGCTTCTCCATTTGTGGCTTGCAAATTTGGAATTTAGCATTATTTTGATTGGGATCATCAATTTATTCACAAACATTAACATAATAGAAACTATTATTTAGGATATTTACTTATTTTATTATACTTTTTATCATTATTTAATCTTAATTTTATAATACTTATTTTTATTTATAATATTTACATAAGCTCAAGCTAGTAGCTTGATAAATTTGACTCACGAGCTGAATAACGAGTTGAATTTGAGCCGACTCACAAGTCAAATCTTCTCATTTACACTAATAGCACAATCAAATTAGGCTTGAAATCATGGGAAATTTTTAATTAATGAGCTATGACTCATTAATGTTTCATATCTGAATGTGTCTCTTACATGCATGGGAAGATGGTTGACCGTTAAGCATTCAATCTAGCCGTCCGATCCTAATCAAACGGACTCCGCGTCACGACAAAAATCTCCAAATAACTCTTAACGCTTCCTCGCGTTATTGGCTGTCTTTTGACTTTTATGTGGAGTAATTATCCACCCAAAGCAAAGCACAATGGGAGGCCGGCTCTAAAAAAATAAAAAATAAAAAATAAAAAATTTGGTAGTAGATGAATCTAATAAAATTTTGCCATTCAATTATAAATTTATTCCAAAATAGTTTAATACAATTATATATTTATTATTTTTTGAGTTGATGAATATTTTTTTTAATATGAAAAGTGTTTAATTAAATAGTGTGTTTTTCTAGGGAGTGATTTTTTTTAATGAAAATTTTTGGGTCCAATAATGTTTAATAATCTGAATTCTTGAGAAATCAAAAATCATTTTCCGGATTTCTTTGGAAACCAGAAAATTATTTTTCAGTTTCAATAAATCGTGATTTAATTTTCTTCTGATTATGCTCCTATTACTAATTTTAATTATTAATTTACTCTTTTTTAAAATTTTGCCCAACTAGAACTGATGAATCATACGAGAATATATATATATATATAACTTTATTGTGCTAGTTTGACTATATTTGTCCACAATGAGAGTACTTTGATTGTGATTTAAATTAAGGCAAAGCACTCTTGACACATTCTTTTGATGTAAACTTCTAATTGACATAGAGTACTCTTAAAGAGTAGCTAGTCTCTAATTTTTTCTTAAATTTTGGATGCTGGAGCTATTGCTTACTGCCTGTTGGGCTTTTTTGTTCTGGATGGTCTTCCTCTGTTCTTATTTTGTATTAGGGGAGGATTATTGGTTTTGATTGTAATTTATGTTATTTGTTCTCCTATTGTTAGGAGTTTTTTAGTTAGTTTAGCTTTATAAGTTTTTCATTATTTTTCTTACAAATCTAGTTTTCTTGTTTTGTAATCGTTCTTTTATGGAATAAAATTGAACATATTTATCCCTAATTTTCTCGAAACTTTTTAAAAAAATCTTATCTCCCAACTTTATTATCTTTTCTCTCTCATCACAATACAATTTATTATTTATCATAAACAATATTACATTGAACCCAAAAAATCTTTATACAAAACTAAATTTCCAAAAAAAAAAAAAAAACTAAAATAGTTGGCCATCAATTTAGTTCCTTCATATTATGATTAGAAAAGTTATTTTGTCATCCATAATCTTTCCATCATCATCATCGTCCGATCACTGCAGCGTTGAGGCGGCTCACACGTGCGGCCCAGGCCTGCCATTTCTTTTTGTTGACCAAGCCATTACTTTAAATAAATAAATATGATTAGTGAATGACTAGTAAATAACAAACCGCCTTGATAATTCATTATATAAAAATAAATAAATAAATTATATAAATTTAATATTATTCTTCCCATTGTGAATGCATAGGGAGCTAGCAACCACTACAGCTATTGTCAGGACCATTTCATCACCATTCAGCAAGCGCCACGTCATGTTTCTTATTTTTGGTTTTATCTTATTTCAAAATCATAATATTAAAATATGATCATATATTTTTAAAAGAAGCAAAATTTTAAATTTAAATAATTTTTTATTCAATAAATTTATTAAAAAATATAATATATAGTTTGTTGATTAACTTTAATATTCTATTAAATTTAAAATATATTTTTTAAAGATCTAAATAAATTAAAACACAAATATATACATATTATTTATATGTAAGCATCAAACTCTACATGCGTTACATTTCTTAAAAAATAAAATTAATAAATAAAGAAATTTATTTCGAGAATGATCCAAATTTACTCAGTTCTACAATGCACTCTCACTCGTCACACGTGGCACACGGCGGAGACGGGTGGGACGATGTGGTGCAATAGTTATTAATAAACATTAATGCGTAATAAAACTATTTGAATAAATGAAAAAAAAAAAAATTCTTCCTTGACTCCCTCTACGTCGAAATCTTCTGTTAATCGACCGAGTGCCGACCGCGTGAGGGGTTTTTACGACGTGAAGCGTCCGTATAAAATCTGGTCCCTCTGCGGTTTCCTACGAAGCATCGGACTCTCATCCTTATCGTGCGGGTGAATTTCTCCGATTCCTCTGCAATTTCGCTCCCTCCGATTGCCTCTTCCCGGCTTCGAATTCTAGGGTTTTCGATTACAAGTGATCCGACGATCGGGGTTTGAGATCGATAATGCCAGCAATGAATTACCAGGGCTCTTCGTTTGGCCGATCACTTCTTAGCCTACGACGCGAGCAAGTCGATGCCCAGCTTGAAACAGGCTCGAGCCGGGAGCGGGAACTTGAATGCTTCCAGCGCCTTGTGGCGGATCTTTTCTCGGATCTCTCTTCCGACTGCGAGGAGCTTCTCTCTCTTCTTTGGATTCGGAAGCTGTTAGAAGCTTTCCTCCTTAGCCTGGAGGAATTCCGCATCATTCTCTTCAACAACGGCCCGATCCTCTCCCAGGCTCCGTTGGATCGCCTCATCTCCGAATTTTACGAGCGCAGCGTGAAAGCCCTCGATATCTGCAACGCCATCCGGGATGGGATCGAGCAGATTCGGCAGTGGCAGAAGCACATCGAGATCGTGCTCATTGCCCTAGATCCACACCATACCCCCATCGGAGGGGGACAGCTGCGTCGTGCCAAGAAGGCGCTCACTGATCTCGCCATTCTTATGCTCGATGTGAAGGATTCCGCCTCTGTTCTTGCGCAGCGAAACAGGTCATTTGGCCGCAATAGCACGAGCTCCAGCAAGGATCGTGGCCACTTCAGATCCCTTTCGTGGAGCGTTTCTCGATCGTGGTCAGCGGTCAAGCAACTCCAGGCTATTGGAAACAACATTAATGCTCCCCGTGTAAATGATGTTGTGGCGACTAATGGAGTAGTGAATCCGATCTTCACGATGAATACAATGCTACATTTTGTGATGTGGACTTTGGTTGCTGCAATTCCTTGCCAGGACCGTGGCCTTCAGACTCACTTTTCCATCCCTCGGAACTTCCCTTGGGGTGCTTCCGTTCTATTGCTCCATGAAAGGATAGTGGAGGAGTCAAAGAAGAAAGAGAGGAAGAACTCTCTTGGACTCTTGAAAGAGATTCATCAGATAGAGAAGTGTATCAGAAACTTGTTGGAGCTGATGGATTCTGTTCAGTTTCCATTGACAGAGGAGAAGGAGATGGAGTTAAGACAGGGTGTGCTTGTTTTATCTAATGTCCATGATGCCATGAAGGAAGAATTGGATCCATTGGAGTCCCAGGCGAGGGAGGTTTTCCATAGGATTGTGCGAAGTAGGACAGAGGGCCTTGACTGCTTACATAAACAACAATGATTTTATTAAAATTTTTGGTTATTGAATGGTGCCACTTAGCAAAATGCAATGTTGCCAGAGTTAAATGTCACCTTCCTTGCAATCAAGTGGTTGCCAGTGGAGATAAAAGAGAGAAGTGGCATACTCCTGTAATGTATCTACTGCTAAGACTTTTTGGCAGGTACTTTTCTTATGTTCATTATAATACTTAAGAAGTCTAAAACAGAATTTTTGTTTGCAAGTAGAGTTAATTATTTTCTTGGTTCCTTCTAAGTTTCCCCTTTAAATTCTTAAAAGTCAAATCCTCTCTAAACATTATACGTGAAAAGAAGATTGAACTCTGGGGGCTGGGGCTCTCGGGCCAGGACCTACCCAAGCCAGATCACATCAGAGGGAGAATTAGAGGGTGTTTAGGGCTTCCTAAGGGCATCTCGAACCGAAAAACTCATTTTCCGCTCTAAAATACAGCAAAAATTTAAAATGCAGTAATTCATCTCAAATCGAACGGCATTTTCTCTTTTCTTTCATGCGCTTCCTACGAACGTAACCATTTCCCCTTACGCACACATTTTGTCCTCTTTTGCACGCTTCTTCAGAAAATCCCGTAGCCCAATTTTTTGGCGTAGGTGAACAGTCCAACCCAATATTGGTGTCAGACTATTCACATGCTGAACTTTGGCATGATATTTGGAGTTCGAATGGAGCGAATGGCCGACTGCATAGGGTGGTATGGAGTTCAATTGGAGATGATCTAAGGCTGTTGTCCTCTTGACTCCCCGTGGCCCCAACTGCTAGTAAGGGATTTATACCTGCCTGTCCACTCTTTAGCCGTTGAAAAGATCAACATTTGATTTATAGATATTTCCGAAAATATGACTCAAAAAGACGTATGATAAAAAACTATTGCGTAGATATTTTCCCAACAGAATTATTATATAAAAAAAAAACCAATTCAACAAAGAGCTTGGTATCTTTTTTAACAACAAATTAACAAAAAAATACAGATTAAGCAATCGAATCCGGCTTATATTGAAAGAAAAAACTTTAGAGCAAACGAAGCTAATGGAAAATATGTCCAAATGGCGTTGTCAGTGAAACCACATACCGTGCTTAATATTGTATTTATATAACATCTAAATAATTATAATTATTTATATAAAATCGTAATCTTCGTTACTCATTTACATACTATAATCTGCATGTTATGGAAATAAATATAAAAATTTGAATATATAAATATAGAAATGCATAGATATCAAGTGAATATGTTTCTATGCTTGCCTTTCATTAATAAATTTTATTTCCATTTAGTTAGCACATAAAATGTAATTATCAAGTGAGGTATGTTTAAACAAAGAAAAAGACCCAAGCAAAGAAACCACCCAAAAAACTACAGGTATTGTAAGAACGAAAGAAAACTACAAAGCCATAGAACCGAACTAAAAACAAAAACCTGAGATTGTATGAAACATCAGCTAGCGATACCCCTCCTCAAGTTGATCACATCAAACTCAAATGAAAAAAAAAGCATAATGGGTCTTCCCTTCTTTAGAACGAATTTACTTTGACATTTAAATGGAGGGCCATTTAATGTATAAAGGAGTAGTTAGAACTTAGAAGAATGCATTTTATTATTTATTTCAACCAAAATAATATAAACAAACAAACTGAATATGTGCAAATATATCTTTTTTGAAGCAATAGGAAGCATATTACATTGTTAAAATTAAGCACCTGAATGATGTTTGGTTCAAACATAAAATTATTACCCCATAGCAAAGTGTTCCCCGAAGAGCTGTAGGCAGAAAATAAATAAGAGTGAGCCTCTGAACTATCTTTGCAAAGAATACAAGTAGGATACAATGAAGATTTCTATCTTTAAGATTGTTAGTGGTCTTAAGACCATTCAAGCAGAATTTCTATGCATGAAGATAAAGAAACAACTTGCAATGCCATAGTCTTCTGGTAAGGGGTTGCCATTAATTAGCCAATGATCAATAAAAAGATAGAATTTTGAATCCTCACTCACCGTGAAGGCCATCACTTCCTTACAGAGTGAACACAAGAATAAATTGCTTTTCAAAAGGAGAGCTATTGGTAATAGGTTCCCCCCTAAATAGAAGCGTGCGAACCTCTCCACCGCGAATTATAAGACACATAAGCTTGTTTGTTCCACTGAGTATCCCAACCTACCCACCCAAAAATCAATCTCTTATGCTCTCACATGATCGATGTTTGTGAGAAAACATTTCCTTGATCTCTTCAGATTGTCATCATGATTTGTTCTAATTTCAAGGCATTCAACCCCCATAAATGCTCATCATCAATTCATTTAAGAGGTTGGTTGGCATCAACATTAAAGGCCAACTCATAGGGCAATTCAATATAGAAAATCTTCCTCATCCTTATAGTTGATCTGAGGTTCTTTCTCTCTTTATTTCCTCCTTTTATAGTTCTCTTCTACTACAATGTCTCTTAATTATAATTATTCTATCTTCAATCTCTTTAATTTTCTCTTGGGAAGGCATACCTATAAGTTGTAAAGCTCATCCCTTGTACCATCTTCCTCTTCTAAAAGAAGCATATCTTCTCAACCAAGGTGTTCTTTGGTTGTAAGTATTAGGAGTGGAAAGTAAAAAAATGCAAATGCTTTGATTTTTCTTTGTTTGGTTTGTAGTAAACCAAAAACAAAAGCATTTGTTTTGGGAATTTGGAATATTCTATAATGCATTTTTAATAAATTTGAAATTCACACATAGTTAGCTGCCACTACTATCAACCACAACCATTGCCCGTCACATCCACTGTCATCAGCTGCTCGTCCCCCGCTGCCATAATCTACACATCACTTGCCGCCGCCACCCCAACCCGCCCCAAACTGATGTCGACTATCACCACACCTAGCCATTGCCACTGTGATCGCAGACATGCCCCGATGTTGTTCATTGCATTTTATTTTAATGCATTTAATTTGCATCCAATCAAACAGCTCATGTATTTCTAAAATGCAAGCATTCCAATTATTATCTATTTTAAAACTATATGCATTTTAAAAACATCCACTCAAGCAACCTCCAAATGAACTACTGCTAGTTGTGTTTTAAATTCGGTCCTTGGTGTTAATATGATTGTTAAAAAATAAAAAAAATGAAAACATAGAATAGCAAGATGTATCAGTTCAATAATTCTGCTTCTTGTATGAATGTATGATGTTGGCTGAAAGTTGTAATTACTTGATATTAAAAAAAACGTCAAGCCTTTGTCCCACTACGTGGGGTTGGCAACATGAATCCTATTTCTCCATTGTGTTCTGTTAAAAGTCAAATTCTCGTTTAAATCTAATAGAGAAAGATCATTCCTAATATTTTTCAACCAAGTCCTTTTAGGTCTGCCTCTATCTTTCTTAACATAAGTCAAATCTGATACCTCTACTTGATATGCATCTAAATAATATATGAAACCATGAAGGAGTTATTTGATGAGTAGATATTTGGTGAATTATCTTTTGATATTTTTGTAAATAAAAAAGAGTTAACACTAAATAATCCATGAACCAAGCCTTGCATATTACAAATCACTGTCAATCTGGGTCATCATATAATGGTAAGCTGGCAAATACTGGGCAGAATTTTGAAGATAAGCATAGATAAGTACACCATCAGATAAGCAAGAAACTCAAGGCATCATACTTCGTATCATTTATTTTAATGTATCATCTCCTTCAATAGCAATCAAAGTGCTGCTGCCTAACTACAGAAGGCCTTACAGAAGTTTTTACAGTTCTATTAAGGATTTATTGTTGAATAGGGTCATGTTGATGCTGTAATTCAATCACCAATGCAAGAACGTGATCTAATTCTGAGTGCTAATAAAAAACTGGCGGCGTTCTTCTAATGTTTGTCAATTATATGTTGCAGATCTGTCAGGCAGTGAATAAAAGAAACAAGAATAAAGGGGATTTTCTTGATTCACATGCATACAATTTGTGCGGACCAACAAAAATAAATGGGCTTTATAACAACAACAAATTCTGTCACGAGATACAAAAAACTCACATTTTAAATGTGAATGTATTCCGAGACTGTAGGATTATTCATCATGAATCAATAAACGAGAAATGATAATGATAACACCAACATAATAATAATAATAATAATAATTATTATTATTATTTTTAAACATCAAAGGTAATTATACTAAACCGGATGGTGGGATTAGTTAAATATTCTTAAGCCTTTTCTTAGCATCCATAACACTTCGTTATAATATTTCAAGATATTATGCTGCATGTGTTTGTTAGACCAGTCCATTGGACTGGTCCAGCCGGTCCACACGGGACCGGCTCAGGCGGAAGTATCTGCCTCTCGCGTATGTCGATCGGACCGCAGAATCCAAGGGAGCTTTTTGGGTAAGATTATTGAGAGATTTGGGAGGGAAATTTGAATGTATGGACTGTTTAGAGATTTCCTTTTGAATTGTATGCATTAAATAGTTTGTTTTCCTAGGGCTAGGACATCTTGAATTTGACTGAAATTTGAGATCTTTTAGTTTCTTTGGGATCTAGCGGCGTCTAGAGATTTGGGAGAGAAAGATCCTCCTATTGAATAGAGGATCAATTGTATCTTGCTTTATTTCTTCCTTTAGGTTGATTTTTTCAATAAAAATTATTGTTTTGTTGTTTTTTTTTCCATTGGATTTGCAGAGCAAATTGCTGTTTTTGCCTCTATTGATAGGATTTACTTGAAATCTTCAAGTACTTCCTATTAGTGTTCTAACAAATTGTCCATTATTAAGGTTGATAAAGGGAATGGAAATAGAAAGAAACAAGAAAAAAATAGAACTTGGCTCGGTCAGCCAATGATTATTATTAACCCAACCTTACTATAAGAAAAGAAGGAACCAGTCATTATAAAAACAAAAATTATGAATTGTTTTCATTTCCCTACCCCCAACATTCTGAATCATAAAGCTGACCTTAAATTATTGAGATAAAACTAATGATGATGATGACAAACATGTAGCATATAATACCGATAGAACAGCATTGCATGCATCATAACGCGTACGAACAATTTGATATAGGCTGCGATAAAGTGCACAATGAAAACAGTTAAAAAAAATTATTGCAAATTTGCTTGACTAACTTGGCTAAAAACCGCTGGAGCATCTAAGCATGCTTTTTGTAAATTATCACAAGGCCAAATGACAACATATTCTGTTATCATTTCTTGATCAGTACGCAGAAAAACAGTGTAGCTTAGGTCATGAAGACACTTGTTACTAAACTATCCTAGCTTTTCTCATCATCTTTTATAATAGTCTTCCTCTAACTTTTCAAGCTCAGTTATCAAACACTATGACATAATAATTTCACATTGTCATCCATCCAACATAAAGGTAATTGCTTTGCAAAATTGGAAAGCTACAGAAGGTTAACAAATGGAAATGAATCGTTTGAATGAGCTACATTATATGGCAAAGAGGACTTGAAGCCCAAAATACTTGCAAGAAAATGTTATGATTGAGTGTTGGTTTGATTTGGTAAATTAGATGGGGAAATTCCGGAAGAAAAGCCCCTACATGACCCTCACCTCCTCATCTTTTGCTCCTGCTCAGCAATCCGAGTGCTCCAATTTAATCAAGAGTAGGATGGAAATTCAACTCAGCAATCCAACGATATTCATTCTGCCTTATATGACTCCTCATGAAGAATTAAGAAAGAATTAATTCCTATAAATATGTATCTGGTTTTCATTATGAAACAAGAAATAAGATTCAAGTTCTTATTTTATATGTCTCGTCTCTTATTTTAACATGCTTTTAAAAAACATTTTGTATTTTGTAACTTGCTAGCTATAATGATTTCTTGACGGGCAACTACTATTTTGCTATTTTTCTCTGCTCGCCCAAAGATCCTTCATGTGAGTATACTTTGCTTGAACTTGCTGGAACTCGCAATTCTTCAAACAAGTTCTCTCAGCAGTCTGAAGGCTTGCTTTTCTTGTATGAGTTTGTAGTCCCTTCATGCAAACTTGTTCAACCGATTCCACCAGAGCTTGCCTTAAACATGCAAGTCATCGAGCCCTCGCCTCGAGCTCGCTTCGATTTTGGAGAAGACATCTTGTGAGTCTGCTAACCCAAACTCACCAAGAGCTCACCTCGCCTCAAACTCAAACTTGTGAGTCTAGTTCTCGCTAGCCATCTCGAACTTGATTTGATTCTTCTCTCTTAACCATAATTATTATTAAACATGGAATGACTTCTATTAAAAGCTTCTCCTTTAACACTAAGGGTTCGTTTGGGACGGCTTTTTTATTGCTTTCTAAAACGGAGTTTTAGTAAAAAAATTTTTATTTTTGTACTAAAACTCCGTTTTAGAAAGCAATAAAAAAGCCGTCCCAAACGAAGCCTAAGTCTAATAATGAACCAATCCTTCATGAACACATCAATGGTCATGATAAATTATAACATCTCTCTCTCTCTCATAGGGCACAAACTAAACTGATAGAACTACCTTTAATGGATCTAATCAATTATGATGCTCATAAGAGAAAAAGGCAAGGATGATTTTCTCATTAAAGTATCATTTCTCCTAAAAAAGAATATTTACAATTCATAACATGGCGATGTGAAAATAGCATGGTTATATGCATTGGCTCATCAAAATCATGAAAAATAAAAGTGACAAAATTTTCTTGTTTTATGACACGTTAAAAGAGATATCGCTTGCACTAAAACAAATTACTTGGATAATGAAAATATCGTCGAGCTACTCAAAATCAAAAGTGCCCTCCATGATCTTGGTCAATGTAATATTTCGGTTATTCAATATTACAATACTCTTAATAGGTGTTTGCATCAACTGGATATATTTGAAAAACTAGATTGTGAGTGTTTACGGAATACAACCAAGTATCTAAAAAGAATTGAGATAGAGGATAGCTAAATTTCCTCTTGGTTTATATAAAAATCTTCATGAAGTCTGAGGAAGGATATTTAGAACAAAATCCCACATGTCCATTTGAGAAGCATTTTTTAAATTACAGAAAGCAAAATTGTAAAAAGATCATGATGGGAGATTGAGGCACTCCAATCACCTTGGATAGCTTTGCACTCGCCTCTTAAGGTATGGATAAATTCAATGAAGTTCCTCGAGAAAGAAAAAGTTCTTAAATGTGATCATTTCCAAAAATTCGAACACACAAAAGAAACTTGCTGGAAATTGCACAATAAACCTATTGATTGGAAAACCGGGAAGCAAGATCTTGGCTTCTCAACAACCGATGGCGAATCTCTAAAGTCTCCAATTATCGTCAAACTTTCATCCATCAATCAAGAATAAATAGAGATGGGGATAAAAACAAGCACACTAACTAATTAGCTCATACCATTTTCTCTCCCCAGCTGTGCAGAATAGGAACATCGAAAACCTTCATAAGGCTAAAACCGATATAAACTAGAGGTCGTGCAACCAAAAATATTGAAGAAGAATGCTATGATTGAGTCTTGGTAAAATTGAGCAAATTGATAATATGGGATGCTTTTTGGTGGTGGAAAAAAACATTAATGGTAATGAATCAGTCCACTTGGTCGACAGGCCTCCTAACTACTCTAGTTTGACGAGCTAGAAGCTCATCTGTTGAAGCGTAGTGTAGGACCAACGGGCTAGAACCATCGCCTGAATGGTTCAGCATCCACCTATTGGTTCCCAAGTCCGATGTTGCCCGGACTCAACGCCCTAAGGTCGGCAACCCAAAGTGCTGGCACCCAAGCTTGATGCCCAGTTGTGGATGTCCATGGATTGATGTTCATAGGATTGCCACCCGAGAACAAAGTGGCAATAGTGAAGGCGTCCAAAAAGTTATAAAATCTTAATAGAATAAAGATACAAATTAAGAGTTCTAATGGTTTCTTGTGATTCTGTTGTTTCCTCATTTCCTGAAACTAAGAGTTCCTATTTTTGTTAAATAGGGTTGGAAGATGGGTCTTCATGGAATCTGATGATGATAAATTCAAACTTCTAATATTTGACAACATATTAAAGGATGCTGAATTAATTGAGTTTTTCTGGGTATAAAATTCCAAAGTTTTAATTTTATTACAATTAAGGTTGTAAATGCTTTATTTGAGACAACCTTCGCACTGGTTTTCGGGCAGGAAAAATGAAAAAAAAAAAATATTGTGTCCATTTGAATGGAAACTTTTTCATTCAAAATTTGCATTATAAGAACTGCTTTTCGGAAAATATGATAGAGATTGCAATTACAAAATTAGCTTTTAACAACATAAATAGAAAAACATAAGCCATCCCAAAAAATAATTTTTGAGATTGGAGTGGAGTCAGGAACTGCCATAGTTGATTTCAGATTAAGTCAATTTACGAAGTAATTTTGAGCCTCAATTGCTTTAACGGCCCTAGCTCTAGTTCATGCCATGACCATGGATTTGTATAAGTTCAAGAGGTAATTAAGAATATGAAATAGGAAAAAAAAACTTTCAATTATAAACTTTAAACTTTCTTAGGGCTTCTAAGAAACCAAATAAACTTACAGTGGTATATTACGGTGAATTTATTGCTGTCCACTCGTTGTATTCATCCATTCTTATAATAAAGGAGCTTGAGCTTGGTTTTCCTCCACCGCCAAATGCCTTCCAATTTTGCCGACAAAATCATTCATGATTAGAAGTCTATTCAAATGAGGGAAACAGCAGATTGAACAAACCTTGGCAATATCTGAGGTATCAGTGGCACAGTCAGTAGTCCTTAAACACATCTTTAGATTCCCACGTTGCATGAATATAACTGCTCCAATAGGTCTGCACATGAAAATCTCAGTTAGGAGATCAAATCCTCATTCAAGGTTTCTTTGATGTAAGTCATCTTAGCATTTCATAACTCATAATACATTGCACACCTAAATGAACTTGCATTAAATTCTTAGGGTAAATAAAATTTAGCACCCTATATCCTGGCCCAATCCTAGCTTCTTATGGTGAAAAACATTACTTGGACCTTTTATAATCATGATTAAGCAGTATATTAATTTAGTTCCTTTTTCATAGAACCTACATTTTAGCTAGGTCCTTAAATTTTATACTTTAAATGAGTCCTTCATTTTTATTACATTTTCTCCTTAGGACCCTTTGCTTCTTCGTCCAATGGATGCCAATTTACTGGAAAATACGAGGACATAAGTGAATGAAAAAAATAATAATATACACTCCTGCGCAATAATTTATAAAAACTAGGAGAATAGAAAGCCAAAAGATCAGAAGGCCTAAATGCAATTTCTAATTTTTAAGTAAATATGCGGAATTCCACTGGATTTCACGCATGAGATATATTTCCATCAGATCAAAAACATAAATATTTCATAAATGAAAAATTTGTATTAAAAAAGAAAATTCAGCTTAATTGTCATGCCTTAAACCAGCTGCAGCACTCCTGCTACTCAATTCCAAAGCAATTTCATGGCTGAACTCTGCATTTCCATCAGCCCTGATTGCCTATCAAAATAATGTAATCAAGAGAAACAAAAAAGCATCAATTCTCAAATAGCAAGGTCAAACAATGCAGTCAAGCAGAAAAGGAAAGTGACTGCTACTGGTTGTGAATTGATTTCCAGTAAAACTATAGCACGAAAGATATGGTTCCAAAGCCTAAATATCAGTTCAAGCAACCAGGGCTGCAAACGAACCGAGCTGAGCCGAGTATGTGAGTGTTCATGTTTGTGTTCATTTAATATCAGCTTGTTCAAGTTTGGTTCATGTTTGTTCGAGCTTTAACGTTTGTGTTCATGTTTGGTTCATTTAAATTAAGGAGTGTTCATGTTCGATTCATGTTCAGTTCATGTACGTTCGTTTAGTGTTTATCGAGCTTTTCACGAACATATTTAACGAATTTTTTTAACTATCAAACAAACATGTTCATGAACATATCTATGAACAAACACATTTATTATAAAAGCAATTGTCTATGTAACAAAGGTAATGATTATTTATATTTATTAATTCTATAGTCAAATATTAATTATTTTTATCGAGCTTATTCACGAGTTCAAAATCGAACATGAATCGAGATTTTATTGAGCTTTTTATCGAGCTTAATGTCGAGCTTGTTCACGAACTTCAAATGATGTTGTTTGCGAACATAAATGAGCCGAACGCATTAGTGTTCAAGTTTGTTTATTTAAGAATCGAGTATTTAAAATATTGTTCAAGTTTGTTTGTTTAGTTAATTAAACGATCGCAAACGAGCTTTAATCGAACCGAACAACGAGTAGCTCGCTAAACATTTGGTTCGCTTGCAGCCCTACAAGCAACAATCTTTTTGGTGCCGCCATAATCATTCCTTGTTCTCTAAATTCCACCAACCCACCACAAACAGATTTTCTATAATAAGTACCACAGGGAAAGCAACCAAAGATACAAGTTTGGCATTTGAAATTAACATGTAACAAGATAGTAGCACAAAGCAGACCAAATATTATAATAATTGTTAGCCAAAGTCAGTTTAATCCAAAATATAAAAAGAAGAAAATGCAGACTACTTAAACTAGAATCACTAGATAATAGAAGTTTATAAAGAAAATACCAGGCACTCTCCATACAATCCTCTTCCAAGTCTAATCTTAAATGGCTTGGCCGACAACTTATTTGCTGCATCGAGGCGCGAAGCAACGTAGGAATTTCCCTTTGATATCAAGTCATCAGCATCAAGTTCCAGAAGCTGTTGTGCACCACATCGTTCTTAACAAACACTTTCAAGGCAAATAATGAAGAAAAAACAAAGTTTCTTTGTTAAACAAATGAGGAATCAGAAAACCTGCTCAAATATGTGAGGGTTAGTCAGGGTGTTTAACTTTGCACGAGCTTCTCTGATTCCAATCTGAAATTCTTTGATGCCTACTAGTTCCCAACGACGAAGATCAGCATCCTCGATATATCTAATCATTTTTTCAACACGAGCATAGTCTTGAAGGTCCAATAATGCTTCTGGGTTCTACTGCAACATGAAATAATAATAATAAAAAAAAAACTCATGATAAACTTATGAGGATTTACACTCAAAATTCTTAGGTATTTACTTACCTAACATCTAAATCCTTATATTTTCTAAAAAAACACAATAATATTTAAATTACAATAGAAATATTACTTACATCAACATATAAAAAAAAGAAATACATCTTTTCATACATCTGTGTGGAAATTCTAATAAAACACCATTGTCCTTATCAAACAATCTGTATGCACTGATTAAATCAACTGCAAGTTGATTCTATCTTAACAATTCATCAATTCTCATATTCATTATTTGTCTCCCATTAATTCTGCATTAATTCTATATTAATTATTCCTTAACTTTACCATAAGTAATAAATATTCAAATATCTTATTGTTATAATCAAGTGAATAAAATTCTTATCATATTTTTTGTCTTCAATTTTATTAAGGTATCAAAGCAATTATTATTCAATTGATTGTGAAGATTTCTAAAATTGTTCAACTAAAAATATTTTCCCTTCCTCTTCAAGAATTTGACCCTCTGTTGCTCACTGGCATCACCCTGCTATTGCCAAGTGCAATGCACAGAGGGGAATTGAGCTTCGACTGCTTATCAACAACATTAACCTGTTGCAGAGTGCAGCTCACAGATGAGGGGCATTCAAAAAGGTTTGGCTGCCCATTGATGATATTCTCTCGATATCGAGTATGTCAAACAGAGAACAAGGTGGATTCGAGCTTCACCTGCACATTAACGACATTCTCCTATTGTTGAGTGTGAAGGCTCAGCTGCTTTGCTTTAGACATGAGAATAGAGAGGGCTTGACTGTCATCGGCTTAAACACTTTCACTCAAATCCTCCACCTCACCAAAATCAATCTTTTGTGTAAGTTTGTTCTACTCATCGCAAGAGGTTGCTTATATTAACCTTCTTCTTCCCTTGTTGCTTCTTCAACTTCATCTCCCATCCTCACTTCAACTTCGAGAACTTGTGGATTGTGATTTAGATAACTTGCACATGCGTGATTTGGACCTCATTCTCCAACACGCCAAGCTTGTCTTGAGTTCGACTCGCCCATCACCTTCACTGTTACCTGTTTGTATTATTCTCTCTTAGCCATAACTATGATTAAACATAGAATAACTTTCGAAGCTTCACCATCAACATCACCTCGAATAATAAATCTATTATTCACCATTACATCGGTAGTCATGAAAACTTATCCTCTAATCTACAACTCACCATGCAAAACTGAATAGGCAAAACTATCTCCAAGAGTCCGAATTAGTTATGATGATCATAAATACAAAATAAAAATGACTATTATCTCCAGGGGCGGATCCAGCTTTAAATTTTAGGGTGGGCAAAATTATTTTAAGAATAATTAAATATAAAAAAATAAAAATGTATATATGTAAGACAAAATTTAAAATGAATTCTTAAATTTCATTCTAATTGATAAATTTAAAAAAAAATAAAAAAGAATACAAGTTTTATTTTATTTTATTTAATAAATATTTTTTTTATTTCATGTTTGCTGAGAAAATTGAATTTTTTGTCGAAATCTTCATTATAAAATTATTTTGCTATTAACTTGGATAAAGGAAATTGTTCTCTCGGTTCCATTTACATAAGGATCCGCCAATGCCTAAAACCACATGATATCAACAACAAAGTCATCTCCCAACAAGTTCTATATAAATTTATTTATTTCCCCATGAAAGCTCAAAAGTCATAATTGCATTAATCAATAGAGAAACCACTTAAAATCCTCAAATATAACCAGATTCATACCTCTTCAGCCGTTGGCCTGTCAATCAGATCAAATGCTAGAGACCTTTATAAAAGTTTGAGAGCTAAAGGATATGAATTGGGTGCCAGAATCCTCAAAGACCCCACGGACTTTACCTTAAACATCAAATAAAATGAAGAGAAGAGAAGGAGAGAGGGAAAGAAAAGAGTGTGGAAGAGGGCTTGGTAGTTGTGAGCGGAGCAGCGGCCTCTGACCTTGCGAGCTTGGGAGAAAGAAGCAAAGGTGGCATTGGGCAGACAACGGTTTATTTTATGATTTAGGGGCAAAAGGATGCTTTTGAGAGGGGGCAAAGTTATAAAACAACTTATACTTTTAACTTAATATTTATTTTCAGGGTGGGCAATTGGCCACTGATTATCTCATGATTGAAGCTATTTCCCCTCAAAATGAAGATTCTAATTCAGATCATGCAGCCAAATCTAACATCAACATCAAATTACATGACTAGAAATATATCTCTAACTCAAAAAATATATTATTTTTCTAAGAAGTACTTTCTAAGGATTGCTAATGGATCTTTATCTCCAAACAGACTTAGGGAGAATCAACATCTTAAATTTCATATCCCTAAACTCAATTTTCCTAAACATTCCTATAATCTCTTATCAATAAACAAATTTATAAAGGATATAAATTGTGCTGCTAATTTTTTCTCTACTCAATGCGAATCCCATGATGCGGCCTTGGAGAGGATGATTGAGAATGCTAAGAAAAATGTTGGACTCTACATCCTTGATGTTGAAGGAAATCCTGTGTTACAAATAAAACATGCTTAATATATATCTTATCTTAAAACGAGTGCAATCATATTGTGGCACTTTTGTCTGTTTCACCTAAACTTTATTTATCTAAGAAAAAATTCTCATCTTCTTTCAATAATAAAGATTCAGTATTATTTTAGCGTAAAATTGATTACTTATCTAACACACTAGGAACACTTATCCTAACAATCTCTATAAAATCTCTCAATCATTCTATCATTTATAGTGACATTTGGAGGCCTTCTCTTGAGTTGTGGTGGGTTCAGATCTTTTATACATAGGGGTTTCTTGGTTGGAAGTAAAGAAGGTGTAAAGTATTTCAAATGTAGGGGTTTTGAAAATATTGATGTTTGATTGGATGAAAAATGAATGCAAAGTAAAGTAAATGTAATATAAATCATTTAGTTCATTTTTAAGATTAAATAAACTCGCCCAATTTTGAATGAGAATCAGTTACAGCACAAGCAAGCTCACTTAACCACCATCACCACCCACAGGCCACCATCACCCATTGTTGGCCGATGGCGCTACCCATCGTTGGCCACCACTACCGCCACCCACTGCCAACGCCACCACCAGCAACTGCAACCACTGCAGCTGCCACCCACCGCCAACCAAACATCCCCAATCTTTTATTTCAGTTCTTAATAAAAGACAATTATGAAACTTGTCACATTAATAAAAAAATCATCTCTATATTGAAACAAGTAAAAACACAAAAAACACGTAATAGTTGTTAATGAATGCACTCTAGTTCTCAACAGATTTACTATTACATTTAAAAACATTGGTGCACTCTAAGGCAGTCTGACCACATATTATTTGTTAATGAATCACCAAGTGGTCAAACCGTTATCAAAATCATCTACGTTGATAATAATGAGAGATAAATTAAGTGATTATAAGGAATCTTAGCTAATGAATTTGAAATTAAAGACTTTGGAACCATAAAATATTTTCTAAAAATGAAAAGTAAAAGATAGAAAAAAGGTATATCTATTTCTCAATGAGAATAAATACTAGATCTCTTAAAAGAAACTAAGAAGATGGATGCAAACCCACAAATACATCTATGGATCCTATCAGCAAAATAGGATTAAATGGTGATACTCTTCAAGTTGATAAAGAAAGGTTCCAACATCTAGTTGAAAAACTTATTTATCTCTTTTATATTTGTCTTAAAATCTATTACATTGTTCGTGTAGTTAGTCAATTTATGGATACTCCTTTAAGAAATATCTTAATGCACTCCATAGGCTGATAATGTACCTAAAAACAACCATTGTAAAAGATTTATTTAAAAAAAAAAAGTTGGAGTAAAAACATCTTTAGTAATGCTTACCAGGTTTTTTTTTTTTTAGTAATGCTTACTTGGTTGGGTCCATAACAGATCAAAAATCTAACTATGGCCATTGTTCATTCGTATGGGAAAACCTTGGCACTATGAGAAGTAAAAAGTACACAATAGTTGTTAGAAGTAGCTGTGAAATATAATTCAGGGCCATGGCTAATAGAATTTGAAATATAGCTTAAAAGGTTGTAATAAAAGCTAAACATCCAGATCAAATTTTATGATATTTGATAACTAAGCTACAATTAACATGTAATAAACCTTTTTTTTTCTTTGAACCGTGCCGGTCCGTTCCCGTTAAATGCAACATCGTACCTTTAAGTTCTGAATTGGGACTTGGGGCATTGAAAGCGAGAGAGAGGGTTGCGGCGAGAAAGTGAAAGAGGAGAGGTTGCGATCCAGCCAATGAGTGGGAAATCTAGGAAGTTGATTGGAGGCTTTGACTACCTAGCAAGCCGTAGAGGGAGGAGGTGAGATCGATAGCTCCTCCGACGATGGCAACCCCTTGTTCGTTCTCGACGTCTAGCATCGTAAGGGGAGGGTGCTGAGTAGATGAACTAGGGGAAGAAGCAAGAGTATCTCATTCTTTTCTCTTTGCAAATCAGATCTTCTTCATTAAATTTTGATTTAGTTAAAACCTAAGGTCAAATTTTCTCTATACTTTTATGGTTTTTGAGATGAATTTTTAAATCAAACATAAATTTTGGGAGGCCTTTGAGGAGAATCATGGATCAAATAAATCTTTTGATGTTTTGTGATTTTAGCAATTAAATTTTTATATTTGAGGTTTTTGATTTTATATTGTCTTTTGTTTATTTCACTTAATCATATAGGCTTAAGGTTAAATTTTGAAGCATGACTTTCAAATTTGCAACTTATAAAGAGCTTTTCATATAAGAATACTTGTGCATATGTATTTTTAAATTAATCCTATAACTGTAATTTATAGTAGTTTATGTTAGAGGAATCTATTTTGATTTTAGAAGAAATATTTTATATATTGAGTGAATTGCTTATATAAATATTTTTATTATATACACATATACATCTATTCTATAATGAATACTTAAAGAGATTTTATGAGAATTAAATCTTAAAATATATTAGAAGACCATGAAGAAATGATTAATATTAATTAATTTTAGAGTGCTAATTAACTAGTTGATATTTGAGATTATCTATGAAGAATAACTTAGAGAAATATTTGAATCATTTATTTAACAAAATTATTTTGATGTCTAATGTTTGTTGCACTGTATTTTGAGTGCATAATTAATTGAGATTATTTTGAATTAGGATTTATGGAGCACCACATGTTGAAACAAGAAAGATTGGGGTCGAGATCGAAATAGTTAGCTACTTATGACTTCATTATGGTAGATGACTCTTTACTGAGTAAGTGATAAGCGTATCTTTTCTTGTTAGGGGTCTAGCCCTTGCTACTCATTGTATGTGAATAATGTGTATGGCAAGATGTGATAATTCATTCACATCATTGCATCACTATTTTGACATGATATGATAGTTAGCGTTGTCATGTTTATTGTTGCATAATTTTTTGAAGAGTTCACATACTTTATCTTGATTGTTTTGAATTACTAGTGTTAATGCAAATCATAAATTTTGTAATACATATAACTAAGCTTAAATATGTTATAACCTTTGTTAAGCACTATTACTAAAATACAATATGTACATAATACAAGCTTGTGTGTTTGATGCTTGTAAATATCAGCATTAAAACCTATTGGTTATAGGACATCATTGGATTTCCTTAAGATTGGTGCTAACCTTTCCCGGAAGGGTATTATAGTAAACTGACTATAAATGCTTACATATGGATATACTGAGAAAATAAATGACTAATGTATCATTGATGGATGTATAGATATCACATGTTTGTAAGTGAATGAATTTGCAATTGAATGCAATGGTTACTAGTTGACAAATAATTCTTTGTGAGTTCTGCTAGCTTCCATAAATGAAGTATGCATATTTAAAAATCTCATTTCATATGCATTGTTTCTACTTATGTTCTCTTCTTTGCTCATATTTATGTCAATGCCTTGTTATTTATGTTTTACTTAGTGGGATTCACCTATTGAGTTTGTTTCCTGCAAGCTCACACATTATTTCATGGTTTTAGGTTTGCTAGTTTGGGTTACTTCTGGTGGAACTTCTAGGTTCAGAATCAAGTTTATCTATGAGAGGGAATTAAGGTTAGAGTTATTTAATTGATTCAATTGTGTAATGAAAATTTCATTTATGTTTGGTGGACATTTAGTATATGTTTGGAATTAAATGCTCTGATGATTTATTGGTGGATACAAATTATTTAAGTCTTATATTTTCATTGCTTTGAAATTATTTTATTATTTTTTGTTCAGCTCGCACCCTACCATTGGGTTCTTGTGATTTTCTTCCAGGCTCGGTGGCGGGTGTGACATAATATTGTCAGAAATTCAATCCATTATAATAGAAATAAGCATGTGGAATTTAATAGGCACTTTATAAAAGAAGAAATCAATCAAGTCATTTAAATACAATGCATACCGAAAAGACTTCAAATAACAAATATCCTAATCAAAGCTATAAATCAACCACAATTCAACAACAACGTAATTTCCAAGATAGAAATAATCAATATATCTTCCTCATAGATGATTAAGATATTGGATGTCCAAAAGCTAAATCACAAATATTCATCAAATTCCAGAGAAAGAAATCAATACAAACCTTTTTCGATGATTTCTCTTCAGTTAATTTTTCTGAAAAATAATCCAAAGAATCCCTGGAACTGCTCTTTCTGGTATCAATACGCAACTCCAAGTTACTGGGGCACTTCCCCATATTAGAAATCCTTGATAATGTACACAGTCGATGATCAAAAGCTATCACCCTAAAATAATCAATTTACTTTTCCATTTATTTCGGGCCAATGATAAAGAAAAAAATTCTTGAAAAAAAAGGCAGAGATTAGCAGCCGTTCAATACCTGGGAATAATCTTTGCGAGCTCTACTGCAAAATTTTTAGGCCCAACGAAATCGAGCATATAACAAGTCTGAATATCTCCAAACCTTAAATCCGCTACCCTAGCAAGGAAAAAAGATCTCTTTCGATAAGTAGATTCCAATAGAGACAGAGAGAGAGAAAAGCCAGTGTGGAACACCTGAGAGGGTCAACAGAGGAAAAGGGGAGGACGAGACATGGGAGATTCAGGGCGGCGTGGTACAGATGGGCGAAAAGTGCGGCAAAGGCTCCACCGAAAGAGGGATAGTTGTATAGCACGAGCTGTGGCTTCTTCTGTCCTCTCTCCTCTTCACCGATGTGAGCTTCGAGAGCCTCCAGTGCAGCCGGCGACCGGAATCCTCGCCTGACCGGCAACGGCAATGTGAAGCTACCAGCGCCCGCTGCCGGTTTACCCCACTTTACAATGCAGACCAAGGAGAGGCGAAGCATTGGTAACCGACTACTAAACCGGGTTCGCGTTAAGGGCTAATATATCCGAATCCCAATTCTAGTTGGGTTTTTCCCGCTTAATAAAATGGAAGACGAGTACCATAATAGAAACGACGAAGGCGGAGCCCGACAGGAGGCTGGAAGGAGGAATGGGGTAAGCTGGGCGTCGGCTGCGGCACCGGCAATGAAAACGGCGCGGACTGCTCAGCTTTGTCACCTTTGTGCTTTTGTCCATTTCCACACATGAGGCTTCTAATTCATCGCTGGAAATTTCTTCTTTTAGGGTTTTTTTGTCGTGATCAAGCGGCAAGGGAGGGTTCGATTCCTGTTCCTCTTCCAGTTCTTTGGGTGCATGGATTTTGAATTTCCGTTCGCATGTTTTCATCGGCTGTGGAACTTCGAAGATCTTGTGCAGGTCATCTTCGGTAGGCCGTTGTATTTCTTCTTGCGCTCTATGTGGCGGTGGTGGTTCTTTGGTTTTTCCTTCTTGCTCTTTTGCGGATTCTTCGCATTCTGGCATTTGGCGCGATGCCGTTTTTTGTTCCTCGGCATTTTGAAGATCACTGCCGGGATGCAATTCCTTTTGAATCAAGGTAGGAAACTCACGTTCCATCGTTTCTTCATCGGATGATGGTAGCAGCGGTGATTCTTCTGGCTCCATTTCTCCTCTTATCCTTGACGGAGTTATAGTTGGCTCCGTTGCTTCTTTCTCCATGGTTGGTAGTGGCGGTGATCCTGTCTCCATTGTCTCCCTTACTCTGGGCAGCGGTTTAGGTGGCTCCAATGTAGTCTCATCATGTTCTGGTACTTGTCCACCCTCGAGCTCACTAGGAATAGGCGGAGGTTTCTGTGATTTTGGCGATTTTATGTCTTGTTGAAGTTCCCCTTCTTCAACTCGATAGAGCTTTTGTTCCATTACAGTTTCCACCACAGCGTTCGTACGTGCTGCTAGATCCGGTGGCTCTAGTGTCGCCCCATTGCATGCTAGTTCCTGCTCAGGAGGACTTGCTCTTTTCTGCGCTTCTTCCTCATCGGTTTGTTTGAATTGTTGTTCCGGTTGGTCTTTTGATTCATCCTCCATGAATTGTCGTAGCGGTCCTTCGTGTTTTTTTGTCTGCTTACTTTCTGTCTGCTGTATACGTGGTATTGAAGAATCAGTAGCTTGTTTAGTTTGTGATTCTTGTTCGGAAGGACCTACTGTCGGCTTACCAGGTAGCTGAGCCCCCACAGCAGAACATGCTGTCTCCTGTGCTTTCGTTTCCCCAGGAGGTTTGAATGGCATTTCTGCTTCTACATGTAGAGACTCTCCAGGCTTCTCATAAGGTTCGTGTGATTGTGGTATCCCTTTGATTTCCAGTGAATCTGCTATTGGAATCTTGTATCTCTCTGTTTCTGACTCAAACAATGTGGTTTTGTCCCATTTCTTTGGCTTTCTGTCGAGCTGCTCTCTTTGTTGTTCTTCTTTCTTCTTTGTAATCCCTGGCTCAAGTATCTTGTGCACCGATGCTTCTCTCTCTTGTAATTCTTGCTTTTCTGGTCCTTTGAAATTTGTAATTTCTGATGCTTGGTAGGACGGCTCCTTTGCAAATTTCTGGTATTTTGATTGTTGATTGCGTTCTGGTTCTTGTGTTTCTAACGCTGCTTCGGTTTCTGGTTCCTTCAAAGTAGAAAACCCTTGAGCTGCTGGCGCTGCTTTTTCCTCCGCTTGTAAGAGTTTTCGCTTTGGTATCTCTGATTCCTCCAACTCTTTCACTAACGTAAGTTTTTGAACTTCGTTCGCAGGTTTTGTTAGCTTTGGAAATTTTTTTGGTGACTTCAAGATGATCTCATGTTCAAAACTTTCTTCATCAGCTAATTGTTGAATTTGTTTTTCCATTTCTTCATTGTAAGTTGGCATTTCACTTTGTATTTCTCTTGGCCATTCTACTTTATCTTTTCTTTGAGGTCGCTCAGGGCTCTTGTTTTCATCTACTTTCTTTTGCGCTTGGAATTTCTGCTCTTTTTCTTCTAATGATCTATACTCATTTATTTTTGGAGTTTTAAACGATGGCTTTGTTGCAGGCTTCTCAAATGTTTCTTGTCTTCTTGAAACTTCTTTGATTTTTGGTGCTATAGGAGTCGTGAGCGCTAGTTCATCTGGTGTTTTGAAGTCTATAATGTCAGGAGTTTGATGGGGTGTCTCCATTGCAGGTTTCTGATGTTCTTTGGATTCTATATGTTCTAGCATTGGTTTAGATTCTTTCTCTAAAGTGGTGGGCTCCTTGGGTATTGGTTCCTCTTGTTTTTCTGGTTCTAGTGACTCTGTAATAATCTCATGGTCATGACCTTCTTCTGCAGAGATTTGAAATTCTTGCTCTTGTTCTACTTCGTAAGTTGGCATTCCTCGTATCTGTCTCCCTTGTGCTTCTTGTTCATTGGGTTGGTCTGGCTCTTGTTTTGCTTCTTCTTCTTCATCTTCTGATTGTGCTGGTTCTGTAGCTTCTTCAAATCGTTTCTGTACTTTTTTTGTTGGCTTCTGTGCTTTTTGTTTCATTATTACTTGTTCTTGCTGGAGAAGTTGTTTTTTATCTTCCTGAAGTTCACAAATCTGTTGTTTCGGTTCTTCCTTTCCTGCATATTCAGCAGCTTTGGGCTTTTCACATGTTGGCACTACTGCAGCCTTCTCTTGTTTCTTCAAATCTTGCTCATGCTGTTCATTTTCTTTCTCGTATTCTTCTAGCTGATGTAACTTTGTTTCTACTTTTTCTTCTTTTCTAGTTTTTATTAGATCTGCAGCTTTCGACATATCTTGAGGTGCCTTCAATGTTGGCTTCTCCGTTTTTAGTTTCTGAAGATTTAGTGACAATTCCTTTGGCTTCATTGACTCTCTTGTTTCGAATGCCTCTCTATTTGTATCCTTCAATTGGCGATCTTCATCTTCCTTAAATCCATGAATCCATTGTTTCAGTTCTGGTAAATCATGCTTTTGTTCTTCTGGTGATGTGAACTCTTTTATTTTTGGTGCCTTAAATGCTGGCCCTGCAGTGGATTTCTCAAATTCTTCTGGTTCTTTTTTCCGTGAACTTTCTTGTCTTTTTGGAGCCCCTTTGGTTTTTGGTGCCTTAGGAGTTGGAAGCGCTAGTTCTTCTAGTGGTCTAAAGTCTATTATATCAGGAGTTTCATAGGGTGACCCAAATGCTATTTCTAGCATTGGTTTAGAATCTTTCTCTAAAGTGGTCGATTCATTTAGTATTGGTTCTTCTTGTTTTTCTGGCTCCTGTGACTCCGCAATAATCTCATGGTCATGACCTTCGACAGAGATCTGAAATTCTTGCTCTATTTTTTCTTCATAAGTTGTCATTCTGCGTATATTTCCCCTTTCAACCTCTTTTTCTTTGGATTGCTCTAGCCCACTTTCTGCTCCTTTTTCCTCTTCTGGTTGTGTTGGTTCTATAGCTACTTCAAGGCGTTTGCTTGTTGGCTTCTCAGCTTTTTGTTTCATGATTTCCTGTTCTTGCTGGGGAAGTTGTGATTCTTCCCCTGGTTTGAACGACTTTTTGTTTGGGGATTTCTCTATATCTGGACCCATCCATTGGTTATTTTTACATTCCTGGAGTTCATAAATCTGTGGTTTTGGTGCTTCCTTTTTTGCACACTCAGAAGCTTTGGGCTTCTTACTTGTTGGCATTACTGTAGGTATCTCTTGTTTCTGCAATTCTTGATCATCCTGTTGATATACTTTCTCGATTTGTTCTGATTGAAAATGTTCTTCATCTTTGATTTGAGGCTTCTCACATGCTGGCACTACTATAGCCTTCTCATGTCCCTGAACTTCTTGCTCATGTTGTTTTAACCCCTCTTGTTCTTCTGGTTGAGCTTCTACAGCTTCGAGCACTTGAACCAGTTCTCTGACTTTAGGCTTATGTTTTTTATCCGTCTTTTTTGTTTCTTCTGATTGTTTACTGTCGTGCTTCTCATGTGGTGGCTGGAGTGTAGAGTTTCTGTGTTCTGAAGTCTCTTGCTCTTCTGGTTTTTCCATCTGTTGTTTTGCCTCTTTTTCTTCTTGTTTTGTCGGTTCTTCAACTGTCAGGATTTGTCTAGGAGCTTTAACTGAAGGCTTTTCTGTGTTTTGTTTATTTTTTACCTGTTCTTGATGGAGGTATTGAGATTCTTTGATTTTTTGTGTGCTTATGCCTGCTATCTTCCAACGGTCTTCTTCATCCTCATTGAGTACACGGAGCGCCGGTTTTAGTTCTTCCTTCTTTATCAACCCACTAGCTTTAGGCTTCTCATATGTTGGCACTACTATAAACTTCTCATGCTCCTGCACTTCATCCTCATGTATTTGGTCAAGTTCTTTGACTCTAACCTTCTCATGCGCCTGCACTGTTTTGATGGGTTCTGAAAGTTTCTTAGCACTTACTTCCTCGTGTGGTGGTTGTATGACAGGCTTTTTGTATTCGTGTGCCTCTTGCTCTTCTATTTGCTCTGCCTCCTTTTTTGTTTCTTTTTCTGCGTTCGATCTTGTTGATTCTGCAACTTGAAATAGTTGTTTTTGTGCTTTCTCAGTTGGCTTCTCAGCCTTTTGTTTTATTATTTCCTCTTCTTGCTGAAGATTTTTATATTTTTCCTCTGATTCTATTGACATTCTTGTTTTGGATGGCTCTCTGTCAGGACCTATCCATTGGTGATCTTCATCTTCATATAATTCATAAACCCATGGTTTTGGTTCTTTCGCTTTTGGTAGTTCACCAGCCTTAGGCTTTTCAAATGCTGGTACCACTGTAGGCTCCTTATCTTCCTGCCCTTCATGCTCATATTGCTTGAACTCTTCTTCAGTTTCTGATCGAATATCTTGTGCAGCTTCCAGCACTTGTTCGGGTGCACTGGCTCGATCCTGCTTATGCTTTTGCCCAAGTTCTTTTGGACCTATTGGCATCATTTGTTCTTGTGCCTCTTGTTCTTCTGGTTGCCGTTGCTCTGGTTCTACTTTTTCTTCTTTTTCTGTTTTTGTTGGTTCTGCAGCTACCCTCGTTTCTTTAGGTACTTTCAAAGGTGGCTTCTCTGTTTTTTGTTTATGAAGATCCAGTGACAATTCTTTTGGCTTCAGTTGTTCTCTTGCTCTGAATGCCTCAATATCTGGACCCTTTAATTGGCCAGCTTCATCATCCTTGCATCCATGAAGACTTCTTAATTCTTTGTCTGGCAGCCCAACATCTTTTGATTTCTTGTCTGTTTGCACTGTTGCAGCCTTTTCGTGTTTCTGCTCCTGTTTTTGTATATCATCTTCTGTTTCTTGTGATTTAGTTGGATGTTTGGTTTCCATTACTTGATCAGATATCTCAAATTGAGGTTTTCCATCCTGTTGATGAAGTTCTCTTGGCTCTGGCAATTTTTCAGTCTTAGGTTTATCATGTGGCAGCTCTTCTGTATGATTATTTTTTTCCTGTAACCATTCCTCTTCTGTTTGATGCATTTCTTTCTCTGCTTTTTCTTTTGATTTTTGTTGTTTTGCCTCTTCCTTAACTTGTTGAGATGGTTTCTCTGTAGGCTTCTCAAGGCATTGTTTAATTTTTTCCTCTTTCTGATAGTCATCTTGAGACCCTTCCTTTGTTTCAAGTGACGGCCTTTTTTCTATGTCAGTGCCCGTTAATATGTGCTTTTCATCTTCCTTGGTTCCTTGAAGTTCTATTTCTGTTTTTCTTGTTTCTGACCACTCTGCAGATGTTGGCTTCTCATATGCTGGACCTCCATTTAGCTTTTCTTCGTCTTGCTCCTTTTGTAATTCTCTCTCTTCTTTTTTTGTTTCAAACAGTTCTGCTGCTTCTAGCACTTCATCGGCTGTCTTCACTTCTGGTTTCTCACGTTTTATCTCTCTGTATTTTTCAGTATGTACATCTTCGTATTCCTTTTTTGATTCAGTCTGCTGTTTAGTTTCCTGCACCTGATCAGGTTCCTTGACTCGTGACTTCTTTTGGTTTTGCTCTTCTTCTTCTTTTTCTGGATGGAACTGTTGAGCTGTTCCCTTCACCTTTGGCGGTTCGCTGTTCTCCGGTTCTGTTACATCAAGTGTCTTACATTTCTGCTGAACTTCGACAAAATGACTGGGTTCTCTTGGTTTTGGTAATTCCATTGCTGCATGCTCCACATCCATTGATTTCATTGTAGGTATTTTCTGTTCTTCATGTATTATTTGCTCCTGTTTTTTCTCAGGACATTGTTCAGGTGTCTCATGCGGCTTGTCTATCCTAGGGATCTTGTGTTCTTGCGCTTGTTTTTTGGATGGATTGAACTCTATGTTTTGTTCTTCTGATCCGCTATATTCTGCAATTCTTGGTGCCTCAGCTTCTGTCCTTTCCGTTGGCTTCTTAAATCCGGTAGGCGCAAAACAAACTTTCTCTGAAGCATTAATATCATCTTCCATGGCTGTCATTTTGACTTCATTTTGCATTGGCCTCTTCACCTTGGGTGTTATATGTTCTCGAGCTGCTTCATCTTCTTCTTCTTGATCCAACCTTTGTTCTGCCACTTGCATTATTTGCGAGTACTCGGATTCAGGATGCTGAGGAAGAGCAGCAATTTTGTTCTCCGCATCTGCTGCTCCTGTTTGTTGCTGTTCTTCTGCAGGTGAGTGTCGTATCAATTCTCCTGGCATGGGAGGCAAATGCGGTATATCTGCAGGTGCCTGTTGTTGCTTTACTTTAAGTGGCCTCGTCAGACCTTGCAGCTCAGACTCTCCATTCTTTTCTTCTGTCGGTTCTAGTGTTTGTCCTCGAACCAACTCTTTACAGACTTGTCGTTCCTCTTGAATTGGACGCTCTACAGTTTCTTCTTCTCCTATCCTGGAGCACTCATTCGTTAACAATTTCGGAATTGAAATGATGAGAATCTTCTCTTCTTCATCAAACCAAGCGTCAATACCATCCAAATCCACACTATCAGGAACAGGAAATGACTCATCAAAACATTCAATTGAGACCTCCCGAGTTATGGCTACTCTGCTCGTGATCACAGCCTCTCGGAAAGCAATGTGACCTCCTCCTCTGATAATAATCTGGCTATCCCCCTCGTTCATGGCTACCTCGATCTCATCTTTCGTGAAACCTGCACTTGGCTCCAATGCTTTCAAAAATCAGATAGAAAATGGAATGAACAAGAGAGAAGTATAAGATTCAGATGGAAAATGTTCTGGTGACCTGGTAGGTGAGCAGCGAGGATGAAGACAGCTTCAGTTTCAGTAGAAGCGAAGGTGAGATCTCCTGTATCTCTTGTTATTCTGACTCTTACTTCCAGCTCCATGCCCAGTGCTTCTGATTGCTGTTACTAATTTTTTAAGAGTTGGGCATTTGACTATTAACAAGAATGGATACTTTACTTCCAATTCAGGGTAGGAGAGATGCCCAGTGAGTGGAAAAGGAGGAATTAGATGTTATAAGGGTAAATAAATATTATTTGTTGCGTTCTTTTATTTCATTTTTAAATATAAGGAGTTTAGCTTACCCAACAAATTCCTTACACATATTTTGTATTTAAATTACTTGAAACTAACACAAAAAATTGAATATCTATATGTATATATGTTACACTCCTGCAGTCAAACGACCTCTTAATTATTGCTTCATGGTCAGATAAGTAAATGAAGTATGGGCAGAAGAGCTTGAACAATTCAGATAAGTAATTTTTTTAGCTCGATATTGACCTCGGTACTGGTCGGTACCGAGCTCAGTACTACTCGGCACTGGATGACATGGATGCATATGATTTGTCTATGGATGATCCGCATAGAATAATCTTTCCATTCCTAGGCCCTCCTCTTCTCTCTTAAAAAATATCATCAATGATAATGACTGGGACTTGGAATCTATTGCTAGCATGGCACTTGATGGAAGCATTGCGCCTGGTAACATGATTTATTGGGACTCGAACTCTTATTTTCATGGATGGGACAAAGGATCCTTCATTAAAATCTTTTTTATTGGGTAGAAAATTGGGTCTTTCTATAGTACTCTGCACAATGTTCCTTTGTAATAACGAAAACTTCGTTTCACATTTTCTTCATTAGATTGTCTTGCAATGATGATTTTTTTTAGTACGTAATATTTATGTGCATTCCAATTGTATTTTTTGTAATAAAAACTGGAGATAAAATTTAAAAGGCCTGGCTATCAGTACGCTTATAGCTTCTTCTTCCTCCTTACTGAAGCCAAAACTCTTAACAAATGTTGATTTTCGTTTCTGATATTGATGGAGTTCTGCCTCCTGGCCCGCACTTTACTCACCGTTATTTAGCTTGGTTGATGGACGAGTACGGTTCGGTACCCTCTCGCCTATCAATGATCAACTTGTGTTTGATTCTTCTTGAGCGACAGCGCTTCTTAAGTGGGGCTTAATCAAGTGCGGGTTAGAAGGTTTTTGGGGTGGGTGCCTCTTCTAAGTCAGCCAAAGATTAGTCATGTCGTCAAAAACCCTTTCGAGGGTGACAACATATGGATATCACGTTCCCAAAAAAAACAAGAGGAAATTTGATGGCTCGTGTGCGATGAAACACAGGACCTTTGTCTGTAAGAATCATAGGGAAATTCAACGTCTTATTCCTTGATTTTGTCAATTTGTTTTCTAATCTTGTTCTACTTCTCCAGTTTTAAGTTATTAATGGAGTTCTATTTTTTGGCTTTTTGGCTAGGTTGGGTGAATTTTTGGCTATCTCTTTTGTAATTTTTTTTTAATAACCCATTTTTTTATCTTCTTTATGAAGCATCGCTATTATTTCGCTACTGGACAATGATAAGAAATATTCCTCTCTTTCTTAGCTTTCCTCTACTGGCAGCCGTTGATTGGAATTTTTCTTTTTTACAGAAAACTTTGCGGGCCTACTCTGAGGCATTTGCAGCTCCTTGTTCTTCTTTTTATACTTAGATTTTTTTTTTTTTTTTTTTCGATGCAACCTTTTCATTTATATTTTTCTGATTTTTTTTTATTCTCCTTATCTAATATATGTACATGAAGAATAATCGGCTGCTGAAGATTAGGAATCATATAAAACCTGTCTGAATAAGCTTTGTATAGGGCTGCAAACGAACCGAGCTGAGCCGAGTATGTGAGTGTTCATTTAATATCAGCTTGTTCATGTTTGTTCGAGCTTTAGCATTTGTGTTCATGTTTGGTTCATTTAAATTAAGGAGTGTTCATGTTCGGTTCATGTTCAGTTCATGTTCGTTCGTTTAGTGTTTATCGAGCTTGTTTGCGAACATATGTAATGATTTTTTTTAACCATCAAACAAACACGTTCATGAACATAACTATGAACAATGTCTATGTAACAAAGATAATGGTTATTTATATTTATTAATTCTATAGTCAAATATTAATTATTTTTATTGAGCTTATTCACGAGTTCAAAATTGAACACGAATCGAGCTTTTATCGAGCTTAATGTCGAGCTTGTTCACGAACTTCAAATGATGTTGTTTGCGAACATAAATGAGCCGAACGCATTAGTGTTCAAGTTTGTTTATTTAAGAATCGAGTATTTAAAATATTGTTCAAGTTTGTTTGTTTAGTTAATTAAACGATCGCAAACGAGCTTTAATCGAATGGAACAACGAGTAGCTCGTCGAACGTTTGGTTCGCTTGCAGCCCTAGCTTTGTACAACACATCTTGGCCTTAGTTTACCTTAAATTTCTTAGAATTTTGTCGGCCTCGGCATCAAAATATGTTTGATGCCTAGATGAGGGTGTAACATAGTCAAGTTAGCTCGGACTTAATGCGATAAATGGCTTTTGAACTTAGATTGATGACCTAATTAGCTAAATTTTTGTTTAAGACTCGTCTTATTAACTTGTGGGCCAACTTATTTAAAAAATGTTAATATTAATTAAAATTTAAGTGGTTAAGTATAAAATTATCAAAAATATTTTAAAAGCATCTCTTTTTATATTAAGTGATTTTTTTAATATCGCACATATATTTTCATATATGTTTTATCATTTTATTGCAATAAATAATCGAATCAAAATGATATTTTTCTCTTTCATAGAATTGAGCTTGTGCTTAAGCTCTAATTTGATTAATTAATCAAACTCAATCTCAAATTTAAGATTTCATTTGGGGAGACTTTCTTACTCTTTTAAAATATTTTTTTTATAAAAATTTGAATTTTTTTAACTAAAAAGATATTTTAAGAAACAATAAGAAAGTCATCCCAAATAAAGTGTAAGGGCATCTTCAACTGTAAAATTCACTTTTCACTCCAAAATATAATAAAACTTTAAAATGTAGTAATTCATCTCTAATAAAAACTCATTTTGTCCGCTTCTTCATCTTGTTGTCAAAGATAACCATCTCTCCTCTGTCACAAGCTTTTTTTGACCAATCCCGAACACACAGAAAAGAATAGCGGTCGAAAATGTGTGCGGTTGGATTCTTTGACGGACGGCAATTGAATGTATGTCGTTCGATTGCGAATGGTCTAAGTTAGATCCTACTTCAACTCGGCTCAACTTATCCACAGCACTAGATTAGATGCTCTAATAAGCTTTGTAGGCCCTAGTGTTGGTGCTTGCTACTGTTGCAGCTTGTTTGGTACAACTGTTTCTTTAAAAGTAAGTAAAAAGTTGTCTGAAATTTTGTCATAAAAAGTTGTTGATATGCTTGAAAGATTTGTGGTTAAGCTACTATTCACACCCAAGTAGTTATTTTTACTTATTTAATTACAACATTTTATAAGTTCTGTATAACAAAAAAAAAAATACTCACAAAATAAAAAAATATCATAAAATTTACATTAAATTAAGACCCAAAAATTCAGCTGATAAAAAAAAAATCCCAACATATTCCTTTTCAAAGTAGAAAAATCTGATAAGGATCATCCAACTGAACTTTTATTTGGTCGGGTCACAGGACGTAGCTCTACGTTTGGCCGCCAGTATAATCGCGCCATGCATTCTCACTATTTACCGCGTGCCCCGACAATCCGACCCGGAACAGACCCAGGATGGCCGGGTATTTCTCGATTTTGCTATGTATTGATCGGTATCGTTAGGTTTTGGTCAATTTTGCTCGGCAATAACCAATACCGAGCAAATACCGAGTTTTTCCTAGGAAAAATTCGGTACAACTCGGTATTGCTCGGTATTACTCGGTATTGGTCTTCACAGAGCTGTATTTCTCGTTATTGCCAAGCAATACCTAGCAATACCGAGCAATATCGAGCAAATACCGAGTAAAACCTCGCAATACGCGAACATAGCATTCCCGGGTTCCGGTCCGGGTCAAGTCGTCGGGCCGCCCGGTAAAGAGTAAGAGCACGTGGCGACATGTTATTGATGGCCGAATTTAGCACCACGTCCGGTCAGAGAACGTAGTAATTGTTCCATGCAACTTGCCTCAAAATGATATAATACACCAATCCTGACAAACTCTTGTTCATTGTATTTGAGAAACACCAATGAAATGATACATTGTATCTCTATAAGGATTTAATAGGCCTCCTTGCTAAGGAATTCTAGAATCTACTTGAAAAGTTTTCAAGGTATACTAAGAAAATATAAATATTAAATATAATATTTTCAAATGTTCATATAATATTGTGTTAATATCACATATAGATAATCATGATATTTTGAGTTGGTGAAGCACATTAATTAAGGTGGGCAACCTATTTTTCAATAAGGACACATGCATATCCATGTATGTCATAAATGACAATAACAGAACCTTATATTAAGAGAGGAGATGAGAATTTTGAAAAAAAACATATGAAAAGTATTAAGGAATGAATTACATACTTAGAAGTATAGCATATAACTAGAATTAATAGCAATGTTTTTAGTTGTTCTCTTAAATATAAGATTATGAATGTTAATAAATGAGTCAATCTACCAACCCAGTTTGAAATTAACCCGAAAATTTCAGTTTTGGGTTGACCATTTTAATAAATGGATTGGCTTCTGATTGCGCATTCTAACATGTTTATTAAACGAGTCAAGTTTGATTTCTGTTGGGCTCGCAAACCCGATCTTGATCTGAAAAATGATTTGTTTAATATTTTTTCTTAATTTTTTTTTTTTTGTACAGTGTTGTTATTTTTTATCAAGTATCATAAAATCTATAGTTAATAAGTTATAAAAATATGTTTTTGGAGGTTATCGCGTAGGGTTCAAGTTTCTAGTGGGTCGAGTTCGGGTTCACCTTTTTGACTTGTTTATAAACAGGTTAGTTCGGATTGATAAGCTCCAGGTCAGACCCGAATCTAACCCTTTGACCCGTTTTGACACCTTTATATAGAATCAATTGATGTTTTGAACAATCATATGATACTAAATAATTGGCATTAGTGAAGGAATGAATAATATTTGATTTGCATAATATCAATATAACAAATAATAAAATATATATTATAACTAAAAACAGGATATTAACATCAGAAAAATTCTCACCTTTATAATGATACATCTAAATGAAAAAAAGGAAGAAAAAATTTGTTGATATTTTTAATAAAATATTTAACTTAAAGTCCTTTTCAAGATATTATATATTAATATTTTCTGAATGAATCAGCACATCAAGATCGCATAAGATTAAAGTCTCATATGAGACAGTTTTCTTACTTAAAAATATCTTGAATATTATTCAGCCAAATGATTTAGAAGCAACAAAGAAAATTATAATAAAAATAAATTATGGGAATATTCTTGAATGATTAGAACGATTATAGGACAGATTTTACGGTCAAATCAATCATGTTTTAGAATTAATAAACACATCTTCCGCTCACCCTTGTTTTCGAATTTTATAATAAGAAAAATAGTAATGCAATGCCTAAACATTATGGGGTTACATGAGTGCAAAATATTTTAAATATAAAGTTTTTAAAAATATTGATATTTAATTTGAAGTAAAATAAATATATTGTAAAATTTGACAAAATTTTATAAAGAAGCAAGTTAATAAGTGGAATTATTAATTAGAATGAGCATTGAATTTCAAAAATTTAAGGAGCAAATGAGATGAATAGTTTGACACATTTAGAATGCGACAAATGATTTGGCGAGTTCTGAATAAACCAAATCATTTGATGCATTCAGATCACTTTGAGAGAAAGAGATAGATTTCTTTAAGGGAAAATTCTATAAGATGGTGGTGAGACCTGCAATGCTTTATGGTGCCGAATGTTGGACATTAAAAGAGAAGCATAATACTAAGTTAAGTGTGGCAGAGATGAGGATGCTCAGGTGGATGAGTGGCTTTACCCTTAGAGATAGGATACGAAATGAGCATATATGTGAAAAGGTTGGAGTAGCTCCAGTAGAAGATAAGATTAGAGAGAGTCATCTTAGATGGTTTGGTCACATAAAACGGCGGCCTTCCGATGACCTGGTTAGTAGAGTATAAGTATTAGATTTGACTTATGTTAAGAAAGGTAGGGGTAGACCTAAAAAGACTTGGTTAGAAAATATTAGGAATGACCTTTCTTTATTAGATTTAAATGAGAATTTGACTTTTAATAGATCACAACGGAGAAAAAGGATTCATGTAGCCGATCCTATGTAATGGGATAGAGGCTTGATGTTGTTGTTGTTGTTAGATGATTTCCAAACACACAATACATTTATGATATCACTGACTTCATTGGAGTTTATGGTTCCAATCATATTTATATACATTTATATCAATAAAATTCATGAATTGCCATTGCATATGAATATATTTATATTCAATTGATTTGGAATCATTATACTTGAAATCTAATTTAAACTTAGCTAGAGTAATCCTTATGATGCACA